GCCTCGTTATTATCTACGACGAGCGCCTATGGTGGCCTACAGGAGTCAACCCGGCAACTGCACTTCCGTATATCAAATTAGCAAGCAACAATCGCTACTACTTGTTACGTCAATTATTCACGAGGAAATCTCTTGGTTATCGATTGGCTGGAAGATCTCAGATTGACCGAACTGTCTATCAACGAGATTTATCANACAATCGCCAACCGATCCTGACAAGCCAGCCAATCGTGATTCTCAGGACAACACAGCAATAGCCACACGCACACTCGCTGCCATCTTGTGAGCGCGAGCCGGGGGAGAAGATCACCGGGTTCTAACCTGAAACCAATGTACACGTCTCGGCTACAGGGATGGTAAACCTGATTGGGTGGCAGGTACCATCGCTAATACCACCGCGGTAGGGACCGGTATGAAGCTAACGACACTTAGGTTCACGATCTTGAGCTATTTCGATCGAGGCCGTGATCCAATTGCATCTCAAACCTTCCACCGGAGACTTATACTCTTAAAAGGGGAAGCCTATATGCCCACTCAGAGTAGATAGTTTTCCCTTCTTTTCTGCGAAGTTTTGTCAAATTCAAATTTCCATATATTGCGCGGAAAAGGTCGCATGTCACATTGGCATCCATACTTACTGATCGATTTCCCCAAAATTCTGAATTAATTCGTAAGGCCGCTGACAACTAACCTTAAAAAAGTATACGAACAAACGAGCTGTCCTCATGAATCACCTTTAACTGGGCTGTCTTAGGCATCGCTAGTACACACTCGTTCGTAAAGTGGGTTAGGGTAATTAATCCATCACCTGTTCGTTTGTAATCGTTGCTATTTTCTACAGGTTACAACACCCAGGTGAGAGATCTTTGTTTAGTTCTTCTGTCATCAGCCACCAATGTATTCTTGTTTATAGTCACCGTTCTCCTCAAAACAGTCAACCCAGATTCTTCACATTCACATTTAGTGTCCGCAATCCGCTGATGGGCCTCAGTCATACCTAAGATATGTTTGATCTCTTCGCGAGAACCGGATGATTTGCGAATGTCAATTCTGGAATCCATGCAAAGCGGATCAATAACGCGTACTGCCAACGCTGACTTGTTGCCACCTAGTTGCTGTACCGTGGCTATGCGACCGTTAAATGTTTATCAATCAGGATGCATAAAGCGATCTCTCTACTTGACTTCACTAATGTGACAAAGTTTTCGGAAAATAATAACTGAATTTGAAGAAAATTGATTGGCAAAGACTCATTCAAACAAAAAAACCACCGATGTCTTTTTATCTTTCATGGAAATCGAAGTTTTACTGAGGGTAGACAAAGACCCGTTGTTACCTCAATCCTCTCGCACAAGGAATCTTTCAAAGCACCTACTGCGAGGTCGGACTCAACGCATGGGTGGTGGCGCAGTGGCTGTCACCGGCGTGCTTTGGGCCCTATGTTCCGAGTTTCGAGCCCCGCCAATGCCACCCGACTTTGGTGGTAGGCAGCTCTGCTGCTGTCCGGTTCAATACCACACCTAACCTATCGAGACCTTACGTTGTTCGCCACTCCAAGTCCCGGGGCTTAGGTTTCCGGTTTCCACCACTGAACCGTAGGTCCTCGTGACTATGGGGTTCGCCCCGTTTACTGTTCATCACACTCATGTGTGATAAAAAAAATACGTGTATTGACAATTAAGTGACGGAGATATCCATTATTCATCAAGATAGTCAGGCTGATGAGCCACGGGTGGTTAGTGCGTCTACGGCAGATGGAAAACTATATGCCCAGCCTCGCATGGAGAAGAGTATGAACTGGTCACAGGACACTCTGCTCGCCATGATCATTGACTCGATTGGGCACCACGGACCTGTAAACTGTAAGTCAAAGACGTAAACCTGACTGGCTTGACGCTAGTCCCCAATGAATTTCAGTTTTCAAACACTGTTCCGCTTCTTTACGGAACGGGATTTGAACGGATACGATTGTCCATTCCTGAGAAAACCTCATTTGGGTAACACGCCGGTATCGTACTCAGGAAAAAAATAAGCGTGACAATGAAATATATGAGGGTGGAATAACGGCACAGTCCAGCGTTCAAATTTCCGTGCTATATGTACCAAGTTTTCCGATGAATTCCACCGATATATCAAACATTCTGAAGAGTAACGTCGACCACAAAATACTCAATAAACTCATCTAAGCGCATCCAACGTAAAGCAAATATAATTACCGACAAAAATTGTGATTAGACTNAGACTAATTTGAACATGTTCTAAACTAATTCATATGGACACACGCAACACCACATTCACTCTTTAGGTCAGTATGTTTATGCATCGATTAGTCGGAAGTGATGTCATTAACTGTATTTGAACGGTTAGGATACAACCAGCCAGCACTGATCACCTCCGGTTATCACTTGTCCAAAGCGATGGACACGACCGATGCATCTGAAACAGGTCACTGAGGTTACATCCATTGTGAATGCCATGATCCAATGTGCGTAACCAACTCGATGGATATATACGAACCAAACGGCGAGATCAGTATGGCTCAAAGTGGAACAAACGACACGTATGTGATCTTTCAAATCACGCGGTAGTAATCGAGCAGTTCAGCCCAGAACCGTACATTGTGATCACCAATTCATTAAACAATGCAAAAGACTACACCAACTTATGATCACAAGATCCGGCGGTACATACAGAGATGATAATCTATTATATGCAGTTGTACCGGAATGACCTAGACAATGCATGGGGATCAGCTGTGTTTGAGGAGGGGAGGGGGGTCACCTGATTAAAATGATTAATAGCTAGTATAAAACACCTCACAACTTCACACTAAGTGGGACAGGTAATGGAAATCGAAAATAACATCCACAACCCAGTACAATTTTCCTCTAAACTATCCCGCCGAATTTTCCATAGTGATCTTGATCTAGTGGATAACTCCGTCAACTGTTGTCAATTCACCCTCTGGGCAAATAATGCGTATATTCGCTTCACTTGAGTCCGTAACTTCCTCATATAAATTGGCTAAGATTGACCTCAATGCTTGATTAACTTCTCCTGACAGCAGTTTTCTGACCGGGGTTGTCTTGCTGAAATGAGAGCGCAGGAACCCAATCACTAGGGCTATAGCCGAATTGACGAGTAACCGCCAATTGGCCCATCAAGGGAAGCTGGTCAACTGTGATTTCAAACTAACCTTGGTCAGAAGAATTAGTTCGTTCGAGGACTACGGTCATCGGATCAACTGGCCAATTTAGAAGCGGGAGGAGCTACGATTCAACAAACCGGACGGTGGCTCCTAATGGATTGCGGGACTGCAAACACTGTCTTGTGGCGGAGATTATTCAAACTAAGGCTGGGAATGGGGTCTCCTGCGCTGGTTTGGTCAACCGATTAGCATAACGGCACAAAATCCTGACAGTATCGTGAAAATGAACAGGAACTTAACTTCAGCATTCAACTGTATCGATCTAGATCTAAATTATGTATACAGCTGGGACACTGTTTTAGACTAGTGAGTAAATATACTATAAACACTATCCACACTGCTTTCAATGGTTGCTCAGATTCAATAGCATCGGCATCAAAAGACGGATTGAGCCCACGTGATAAAGAGAACGAGACGACAGGATCCGGACAAAACTGTTTGTCGATGCGACACTCAGATGAGTCGACACAAACTCAGCACAGAGCAAAGTATGGTATAGCGAAGAACGAATCTAATACATCACAGGATGCATCTCAGTTCTGACGCTGCCATAAAACGGTGTTCAGAAAGTAAAAGCGGAACGAAACATTCGCCGGACGCTCAACCTTGCTCCGTGATAGCGCGTTCGTTGCTTGAGTGTGTGTATGTGGACAGGATAATCCGTACATGAAGATCGAATAATGAACTTGAATCATGGATAGAAGATAAATGAAGAGAAGCAATCCTGAGGTCGGCAACTTCAAACATGTTCATGACGTTCATCTTGACTGTGTGTACCTATAGACAGGAATATATAAATATTTCCCCATATAGCATTCTATTTTACCGCCCCGTTTATATTTTCCATCTAGTCATATGTGGTATGTACCGACTTTTAGGGTGTCCTACAACCAAAGAGAGCACTATAAATTGATTTCATGAAATAGCATGATCAGAGTTGAACAAATGCAACCGTGACAAACCGCCCCTCCCGCCAATCCGGCTGTTAGGATAATGAAACAAGTTGAGAAAAACAATCGGTTAATCAAAGGTCAGTGAAAACGATTTGGTAGGACATCGGCTGCCTGACCGGACATGATCCAGCTATCACCGATAAACATTCGGCGCTTTCTGGTGTGGTCTGTCAAGTGATTTGCATCTCTCCATCAACGTTACAATTAACCATGATGGTTCATAATGTCAACACAGTAAACTGGAATTCATGCATCACTATCACTCATAGAAAGACGTTATTGTTGTTGCGGCTAGTCCCGAGGTCAACTTATCCTAGTAGACAGAAAGAACTGAGCCCAAGTAAGCGGAACATATCTGAAAAGGCAGAAGTAGCCTTTTTCATCAAGGGACAGTAAATGAAAAGTAATACTCGTTCGTATCGTAGGGTAAACCGAACCAAATCGCAATTGGTTTCCTAAGCCAAGTTCACGGTACAGTACAGTACACACATATATACACTGCTCTACCGTTAACAAGTGCATCAGAATCCCTCGTCAATCATTAAGGAATTCTAGTATCCGGTCCAATCTTGTTTCTAGAACTCCGTGGACACAAATGAAATCGCCTACGACAGGGCTCATTGAGCAAGACAATGATAAAACAGACGAGTGGTATAGATGATCTTTTACGCGTCAGCACGTCGAAAGTCATTAAATGCTGCGTTAATCTTGCTTTGCGATCAGACATCGGAAGGAAAACACAGAACCAAAAAGATACTAGATACACCGCCCACGAACACGAACGTGTCGACGGAGGCGAAAGGAGACACGATACACACGCAGATGGTCAGAGATAAAAATCAGAACGATGAAAGCGGCAGTATTGTGTACTCGGCCGCACAATCAAGAATCCAAGAGGCCGGAACGGCCCGGAGTGGAGGAGCAACCGGTTCAACATTCGTACCCAAGGAGTCTACACGACATGGTCTTACAAGGGATAGTGCATCGGAAACCACTTGAACCGCATACGGTGTCGATTGGACATTTGCGCCCGGCTGCCGTTGTTGACGAGACTGGGATCTGGAATCATATACAACCAGAAGTGACGTGGACGAGTGTAACAAGTTTGGTTGTTTCGAGTCTAGAATAGACTGCTCATCATCACTCTCACCATCCTCATCATCTTTTGTATCGCCTCCAGGGACAGGCCGAACGGTAGCAGAACCGGTAGGTGAACTGAGCTCCCATACGGTAGCCTCCCGTGTTTGTGTACCTTCGATCGCTAGACGTGCCAGACGCAGTGGAGAGCAACGTTCACGACAGGACACGACAACTGCACCACCAGTGCGTACCAATCGAGCCAGTTCGTTTCGCGGAGGCATTGGATATTCAAACTCCCCCTGAAAGGATAGTACACGAGAACTTAGGTGCAAAGCAGTTCCTAAACAATACAGTGAATTCAAAGGGGGGAGGGAAAGACGAATTTGAGTTGCCATTCGGGTTGAAATCGAGTGACCTATAGATCGAAATGATGAGTGAACATCATATGGGGAGCTAGAAAAGAGAACAAGATTTGTGGTATATGCAATTTCATTGTTCTATTGGGCACTTAAGCTCTTTGTGAAGTATATTCGCATAACACATAGCAAAAATTCTATGACGTGGATTCACACGTTGAACTTCAATGACCAAAATAGGAACCAAAGGAACAGTAGTGGCAAATAAACTGACCAATTAAATAGATAATTCAATTGGATTAGATAGTGAATACTGTCATGCATAGACCACAGAGAACGCAAATGGAATAGATAGGAAGCCATATCGACCTGATCGGCTCTAACTGGCAGTACGCGAATCCATCGACTTAACAACTGGGGATCGAATCCAGGGACTCGTACAGTGAAGGCAAGTACACTTCTCAGTTGACCAGTAGCTAGTCGGATGTTTCAGTTCATGTTCCATTGGCTCGATATGCGACGAAAACCACCGTATAAAGGTGATAAGTGCTGAGCAAATTACGCCAAACACACTCACCAAGAAGCAGAACCGAAACCCGTAGAACAAACCAAGTGAGCCTGCCTCACGAGCTAGTCGGGCTCGACGAGGTGCGCCCGAATGCGGCGTGGTGCTACAACCAGTCACTTCGAATCCCTCTTCCTCCACACGCATTTTCACATGGGCACATGTCTCAATCCAATCGAATGACAACACCCAACATCCCTAAATGGAAAGAACCATTTGAGAAGAAAACGCGTTTTAGAACGAAAATACCACGAACTGGTTGCTTAGAAACAACAACAAAAAGAACGAATACAAGTAGATAATAGTTTAAAAGCAGACAGAGGAGTATAGGCTGAGAGGTAGACACTTAATTTTGGTGTTTAGGGGTGATGACCATATTGTAAACAACAATAAATTAGAAAAAGTAAATTAAGGAATTAGAGATTATACAGGTTGAGAATCGACTATTCAAAAAAATTATATGGATACTCCATCCACTAGATGTTTTAAACCACAAAAGGAACTCAAGGACCATTCTTCATTCACTAAATCCGAAAATATTGAAACATTAGACAATCAATGCTACAGAAAACTATATTCTATGAACATGGTAAATGAGAGGAAGATCACTGCTAGTATAGTGTTATTTTTTACCACAGTGGAGCAGAATCAGCCACTTGTGCTCACAAATCATAACAGGCATTTTCTGTGCAGTGCTGACTTGAGTTTTGCAAACTGCGCAGCTGATGGTTCTCTACTCTGGATTCAGGATGATCTTCAGTTCAGCAGAACTTTGGATCTACTCGCCGGACCAAAAATTCGCAGAGCCTCTTGATTGGGTTGAAATCAAGACCACCAATAGGCCATTCTAACAAATGGATTCCATGGCTGACGTGTGTATTGCAACGCGGTCTTGGTGAAGAATCCATTTCGTCGATCTTTATAGCTTTCATGATATCATGCCAATAGTACTGGAAAATATCCTATGTGCCAAGCATGAGCATTTCCTCGTCATCGAACACCTATCTCTCTGATTGATACGTCTAACAAACGTGAATTTCCGCCCACCGTGATCGATGCGGAATTCGCAGCTGATTAAAAAACGATTGCCTCAACTTTTCGTATTTCAGCAAAACGTTTCTCGAAGTGTCCACTGAACAGTTCTTCTTGATATTGCTAATTTCATCTCCCCTGATTGTATGGCTTAACGGATATAAGACCATTGAACTTTTTTGACAAGCCTAATCTACCTCTTCTTCAACTGTACTGGACGTAGAGAATCATCACAATGCCAGAAAACAAACGCACGGAGCATGTAAGCGTCGGGTTGTAGTCAGAGTGCCCCATTAACTTTGTCATACATATTTTTTACGAATAGCCTT